GCCACCCAAAGGACCGAGTCAACTTAGTGAACTCGATCCTCACATTCCAACACCTAAAAGCCAGACCTAACATCGTTCTGTTTGACCCGGAAGATGAAGAAAGTTCAAGAGAGAAGGTTAGTTTTTCACTGAGAATCTACTTGGAGACGGGGGAAGAGAGCAGCAGAGATCTTGCTCTCTAAGAACGGAAACTGGAAAATGAGAATGAAGGGAGATGATCTGTGCCTTGTGATCTCTGCTGAAGGAGACTCGGTATTGATTAGGGAACTTCCCTTCAGGACAACACAACTTCACAGCATGAAAAGCACAAACTCAGAGGAATCCCACATTTCTTAGTCATCTGACCTATATACAGTTGTCTCTGCTCTACGACAAACGCACTTGAAATTCTCTAGGCTGCCATCATGGCCAGACCTAGAGCCCAGTCATAGAATTTGGTTGCTCTGGGATTTGGGCCACATCACTGCTGCTATCCTTCTGCATCCTAGTTTGAAAAGACAAAGAGTCTAAAAGGGGTTAACCCAAGCATCACTCAGTCTACTTCAACCCTAGCCCAGAAAGGAAGGGTCACACCAGCAAGCAGCAACAGAGCAAGGCCTGGAATGCAGCTCTCTGGCTCAGAGTCCTGTGCACTTTCCACTACCTCAAAATGCCCCCGTGGCTGTTCAATCCAAGGACATAACCCCTAGAGAAAAGAGGTTGTGAAATACTTCCACTTGAAGCCCAGGGCTGGCTGCAGGCCTAGATGCTTCTCTATCAATCCTCCTAGCCTGGTCTCAAGTCAGCAGTTCCCATCCTGCGGGGTTATACTAACCATTCTCCTCCATAAGAGAAAGCCCTGCCTTTCCCATCGCCCTTGGGCTCCTTGAGCCCCACAATATGCTTTTAAACATCTGGAGTGTTTGCCCTAGGTTTCTCTGCACCAAGACACAGGCCTACCCTTCACTAAAGATTACCTCTGACATTCCAAAGCTTGAGCCTGCCACACCACTCCCTTTCTGGGTCTGCAGTGTAAGGGAACACCAGGCAGGGATGCAAACTGCCATTGCCTGTGGGCTGGTTAGCTTTTGTCAATTTGACACAAACTAGAGTCACCTGGGAAGAGGGACTCTCAGTTGAGCAATGGCCTCCATCAGATTGACCCATGGGCGTATCTATGGGGCATCTTCTCAATTAATGATAGATATGAGAAGGCCAAACCCACTGAAAGGATATGCCTCCCTTGGACAGGTGGCCCTGGGTTGTGTAAGAAAGCAGGCTGAGCATATAAAAGGTGCATAGTTTTAAAACACAAAATCCCAGCACCGAGGAGGGAGTGAATGCAGCATCCTACTCCTAATTTAGTGGCTGTGGGACCCAGTGGGCAGAGGAAAACTGGTCCAGGGGGATAGAGGTAAATGGAGAAAGGCTCCTTCTACATTCTGGTGTCAGGAGTGAGATATGAATGCACCCAAATGTTTTGAGGCTAGCCCAAAGGCCATAGCCAGTCTGAGTGGCCTGTCACCCACCTCATGTCTGGGTGCTTGTATGCCCATTCAGAGTCGGGAAAAAAGTAGCTGAAAACCTACCCTGTGCCTTACCACTCCCCACTGGGCAAGCAGTCGCTTAAGAAACAACCACTTTGAGACTTAATATCAATTACAATTGTTTGGCCAATGGCTCAAGCTTCTTATTGGCTAGCTCTCTCTTAATTATTAACCCATTTCTGTTAACTTGTGTTTCTCTACGTGGACTAACTTACCAATGGTGCCTGAGCATCCTACATCCCTCATGGCTACTTGGTATCTGTCCTTTGTCTTTCTTTCCCTGCCTCTTTGTTTGGAATTCCCACCTACCTAAATTCTGCCTGTTCATTGGCTGAAACAACTTTATTCATCAACCAATAAAAGCAGTATATATTTTCAGCATACAGAAGGACCTCCTACATCAGCTATTGGAATTGATACCTGCTAGGAAAGGGGGAAATCTATTTTCTCCAAGCAAGAGACACCAGGTATATCAACCACAGTCCAGGCCCCATGCCCAGGAGTAGCTGACCAACATAAAACAGACTTCATGTCTTTTGTGAACTTTCTGTTTGGCTATTTTTTTGTTTGGGTGGGTATTTTATTTGTTTGTTTTGATTTGGGGATTATTTTTCATAGCAAGAGAGAGAGAACATGGAGTTAGGTAGGTAGAGAGATGGGGATGATCTGTTGGGAAATATGGAATGGGGAAAGAATTTGATTATAGCACGTATAAAATTTACATAAACATTAAATTTTTCAAAAAGAAATTGGGACCCCAACTCTTGGTCATGAAAGAATTCTCTCTTTTTTTGATATTCAACTTTTTAATAAGTGAATCATTTGGGAGCTTAAAAAAGGAAGCCAAGAAAAGAAAGCAGCCTTAGAAAAGCTATGGGACACACACCAGTAAGCAGCGCTCCTCCATGACTTCTGCTCCAGTTTCTGTCTCCAGTTCCTGCCTCCAGTTCCTGCCCTGACTTCTCTGGGTGATGGAGTGAGGTATGGAAGTATGAAGCCAAATAAGCCCTTCCCTTTGCAAAGCTGCTTTGGCTCATGGCATTTATCACAGGACCAGAAAGCAAAATAGGACACCTGCCATCTCCCTCCTTGGCCAGAGGCTGGGCTTGGCAAGCCAGGGAAGAACTGATGGTCTACTACCATATCAATTCAAGATTAGACTTGAGAGAGGCTTTTTTCTCACAAACCAAGAGAAACAGAAGAACAAAACTTTCCAAAGACCCTTCCTCATCAAGGAGGTAAGGAGGACCAGTAGGACCATGCTTCGGGTTTAAAAGGAAAGAATCACATTCCCATCTCTGATTGCGAAGGGTTTTTATAAAGCCCACCTTGTGCCTTGAGTGCAAACTTGTGACCCTGGATCATTTCGCCATGGAACCTCGGTTTCTTCACCTGGAAAATGGTGATCAGCCTCGTCCATCCCAACCCTCTGGACCATGGATGTGAACGTGCTTTGTGAGTACTACTGTAAGACACATGTGTGGCAGGTGATTACCTTCCCCAGCCCAGGCACCTGCTGCAACACCTGCCTCCTGTCCGCCTCCTCTCCTCCATGTGTCTCTTCTATTAAAAACTCCTGAACCTGCTGGATATTTGTAGGTAGAAAACGCTGCCTTTTGTACCTGTGCTCTTAACTTATGGCCTTCTGATGCTGGAAATGCCCCATGATCCTTGGTCTATTATTAGGTTTGGTTAAATTGGCAGAGGGAGGCTGAAAACAGCCAGCACAGCCAGCACTAACCCTTGGATTTTCCCATTTCTAATTTCTTGCTTTTATAAATCCAGTACATTTGGACAGTCTGCACAATATACTGCAAGGAAAAGGGTTTGTCATCACAAGACTGGGTAGTTCTTCCCTGAGTTAGCTCTGCCTTGGTCTCTAAGCTAGGAACATTTGTTCCAAACTAGAACTTCCGCGTTGGAAGTCAGCCAAGTCGAGTGGATGCCCTGGTGCCTTCCCGCTGAGCTGTCTGATCCTTGAAGCCCTGTGTGCCCTCGAACAAATGCCCATGGTTCCAAATGGAGCGAGTCTTCAGGAACAGAGAGAGGGTTGTTGAGAGAGAGGAGTTTGGGACTCAGGAACCCCCAGTTTCTTGCTCTGGAGTTCACATCCGCCTCTGAGTTAGCCTGAAGAGTTTGTGCCACCCACATATGCTTTATGTATTTATTGTTTCTTTAAAGTGACTAATTAAAATTTCACATACTTGAGACATACAGCATGATGTTTTGATATCAGTACCCCTTATGGAATGACTAAATCAAGCTAATTAATATATGAATCACCTTATCATTTTTGTAATACTGGAAAGAAATCCTTTGCAATTTTTAAGAAGACAATATATTATTATTCTATATTAACTGTGCTCACCACGTACAATTAGTTTCTTGAATTTATTTCTTCTAACTGAAATCTTGCATTCTTTTTACCAACGTCTCCCCAATCCCGTCATTCCATGACCTCTGGAATGACCATTCTCTCTGCTTCTGTGGGTTCAATTTTGGGGAGGCATTGAAATTGTCCCATTTTTCATCTTGGGGCCCAGGGTTCCCAGAGTATGGCAGTACAGAGGCCTATCCAGCACCTCCTAACACATCTGCACCCTTACTTTATTTACCACCCCCACCAACTCTAAATCAGCCAAGATATTTTAAACCTTGTTTTGATCTTCTTTGCATATCAGTTACACTATTTCTGAGTGTGTTTATTTTTATTTTTTTTTCCGGTGGTGAGCACATTACTTTGAGCCCTCAGGTAGCACATCTCCACTTCCTCTTGATTTCCTGCATGCCCCTGTGACCTCCAGGCATGTGGCTCAGAGCAGGCTAAATGGTTTTCATAGGTCTGGGAGCTTTGCTGTATAGCCAGGGGACATAGGTTCTCCTGTCTCTGCTGTTCCGAGTTGCTCCTGACATCTGCAGTGTTGAGATAAAATTCCAGCTGTTTCTTTTGCCCCAGCTCCTAAGGAAACAGCTCTTGTGCCTAGTCTGATATAGGGGGAAGGCACTGAACCTCAAACAAGAAAGAACAGGAATTTACTGCCAGCTCTGATGCTGATTTTGAGAAAACTCCTCACCTCCTTTAGGTCAGACTTAAAATTTCCAACGTTCCTGTGTTTCTGCATTTCCAGGATACTCACCAACATAAGAATAGTGATGTATCAACAGCAAAATAAGCTATGTATTAAGGGCCATCTGGGGCCAGGACCTGGGGCCAACACATTATCGATAAAAGGAGGATTAAGAAAGCAGTTCAAAAAGTGATTGCTGATGGTTTTTGACTGAGTTATCCCTTTCTGATAGTATCTTGTGATATGACTTGTGAAACGTGTGTGCTAAGCCCCATGAGCCTGCTGTGTTTGAGCCATGCACTCCCACATTCTTCATACAGTAGCACACCCCACTAGGGATACCACGTGCCAGAGTACCGGGCAAACAAACACTCCTTCTCGCTGGTTAGCAACCTGTCTACTTATTCTGACTGCGTTGGGCAGAATTTGTTTGGAAAGTTCTGTTTCAAAGATCCCAATGCCTTCACTCTCCAGGAAAACCACGGCATCCTGCCCTGTTAGATGACTAAATTTTAGATTGGAAGATCAGGTAAGAGGCAACTCCTGAAGCCAGATCATGGGATTCAGATAGAAACCTCTTTTCACCCTGTGTGGTTTGGGACACGTCAAAGCCCGGGTCCTTCTGTCTTTGAAATGGAAACCAAGCTGTTTGACCTGCACAGCCCTGGATGAGGTAACTGTCCGCGTCGGTGTTTATGCTCAGTACAGTGAGCTTGTCTACTCCAGAGCTAGACAGGAAATTAAAGGTCATCTTGTCCTGTCCTCTCACTTGAAAGAATAGGAAACTTTGACTCTAGAAGTGTCACACAGATAGCTCATAACTGCGCTGACTTGAACTTTGTTATTTTGAGACTGTGTCTCTGTCTGTAACCCAGGTTTGCTACAAACTTGCAACAAATCTCCTGCCTCACCTTCTACCGCTAGGAGAGCAGGCATAAGCTACCACACCTCCTAAATCGTCTGATTTTCTTGCTGCGCTTCTACAGTCCATAGAGTATGACAGTTCTTTCTTTGTAACAAGCATCAGGTTCATGACCTTCCCAGAACATATTTAGACAATAAGGCTCTTTCTATTAGTTTTAAGTTAGTTTAGTAGTCACCTGCCTAAATGTAGCAGCTTGAGTAAGATGTGACTCTAGTCTCCTAGTATTTTAAGTGCCTAGTCAGGGGTCAGCTTCCTTGTCTTGAGAAGTAGGGATGGGTAAAGTGGCTAATGGGTATAAATTCCAAAGCCTCTAGTTCACCTGTTCAGAAGTCTCATCTTACATGTGAGCATACTGTAACATCATGTGCAATAGCAAAATGAAGACTAGACTGATGCAGTTTCCCAGAATTCGAGAGAGATGGGAGACAGATACTGACTGTTTCCCCCAAACAATGAATAGTCTCATTGCCTTCGACATCAATTATTCATTTCAATGTTGCCAGAGTAAACTTTAGTTGTCAACTTGACATCAACCTAGAGTCACCAGGGAAGAGGGAACCTCAACTGAAGAATTTCCTACATCAGATTGGCCCATGGGTATGTCTGTGGGCTGTTTCTTGATTACTAATTGATGGAGGAGGACATTGCCCACTATGGGCAGTAACATCCCTAGGAATGTGGTCCTGGACTGTATAAGAAAGAGAGCTGAGTGTGAGCCTGAAAACAAACCAGTGAATAGCATCACTCCATGGTCTCTCTCAACATCCTTAAGTTCAAGTTACTGCCTTGTGCTCCTGCTGAAATCAAGTCTTTTTCCCTCAGGTTGCTTTTGGTCACGATGTTTATCACAGCAAACAAAGACAAAAGTGACTCGCCCCTTCCTACCTCCTTTTTCCTCTAGTCACAAAAAATCCAGGCAATTTACAGAAAATGTGAAAATGGACAATGAAGAGTGTATAAAAATGAATGCCAGCCCAATATCATCAAAGTAGACTCTAAAACATCTAGGTCCATACTACTAGTGTGATAGCCACTGTTTATCTACTTTAAATTAATTAAAATTAAATATGATTTAGAATGTAAAATCTGGGCTCATGAAACATATTTTAAGGCTTAATAGCCACATGTGGTTAATGACTACCTACTGGACATTGCAAATAAGAATACTGCCACAATTGTAGGAATTTCTATTGGGTAGTGTTATCTAGACAGGTAACACATTTGTAATAAACTATCAAAAACTTTGACTCTGGGTGTCATATTATCCACCCCAAAACAGGAAAATTAAAATCGGTGTGGCATTACCAATTCATCAAGGAAAATGAACCTTTTCATGTACTTAAACCTAAAAGAACCCCATGGGGTGCATCATGCAGATAGTTATGTACTGACAGAAATAAAATCAAGAGCTATAGAGACAAGGTGATAAAAGTTTAACTTAGTTCTTGTCAAAGTTGGAGGTCTCAGCTACTAAAATTCAACTTACTGGAAGTAATTCCTCAGTAGTACAGTTGGGATTTACGAGAAGATTTTAGTGACTTGGCTCAAGTGAATTTACATGGGTATTGAGCCCCAAGTGACAAGATGTCAATGCTGATCTGGAAGGCAAGCTTTCATACATAAGGAAAACCAAATACAGAAGTTCTGAGATTGGAAAGTATTGGGAAGTGTGGTGGAGAGAAAGGTCTCTGACTATTATGTATGAAGCAGAGAGGGAGATAAAGCTAAGCAAGGGATCACGACCAGATCAGAAAGGCCTACGTAGTTCATGGTGACCAGTTCAACAGAAGCAGACTTACTATTTTACAGCTTGAGAAAAGTCAGGTTGGGGTCTGGGAATATGATTCATCCCAGAACTGTAACCTCAGTGAGCTAAGGCACAAATATTCTGAATTCAAGACCAGCCTGGATTATGTATAAACTTCTAGTCCATAACATGAAACCCTGTTTCAAAACAACTGTAAAAACTGAGGACAGTGGGTGAGGAGAAAAACCAGCCATTGCTATATGAAAGCATGGCTTGTGGGGTGATCAGACGTGGGCAGGAAAAACATGAAGATGGAAGGAATAAACGAGTCACCAGCAGACATGGTGAAGTCCTCTAAACTACAGGTATTTCAGATGAGAAGCCAGCATAACCTGAATTGATTAGTTTCAATGGAATTTGAAAAAAACGTGAAGAAAATTGCAATAGCTGTTATCTGTTCTGTTTACTGCTAGGCTAGACAACCACTTGCTGACAAAGACTTGAGAGAGAGGAGCCGGGAGAGGGGAGGAATTGGCCCATAGTGTAATATATAGGTCCTGGTGTGTTTAGGATGCCTGTTACCTGGAAAAACAGAGCTCTCCACTCAAGGGAGAGTTGTTAAAAGATAGAGGTTTGGAGTTGTCAGGGTATAGGTGGTACTGTAAATCCGTGAAATTCAGAAGTCATCCATGAAAGAGGACACACGGAAAACAGCCTAGGAGCACCTGGGAATGTGAACTGCAAGAGGGCTACACAGGAGACAGAAGGGTAAGGAGGCTTGGGCTTCTTGGGATCCCAGAAACTTGGAAGAGCAAGTGTTTAAAGAGGCACGAAGGCTCGAGAGTCCAGTTAGCTGAGTGCATTTTGGCTTTGGAAGTATGTAGGTCATTGGTGACCTTGATAAAGGCTGCTCGAGTGGCGTGATGGGTCAGAAGAAAACTGGAACAGAGTTGAGACAAGAACGGGAGCTGAAAGAAAAACAGACAGGAAATGTAGATTTTTATTAAAAAAAAAAAAAAAGAAGTTTGTGGCTGCCCCAAAGTTAACAGGGTGGAGGGACATCCAGGTCAAAGGACAGTTACTGATTGTTTTTTAATGGTTATCAGAAAGGTGTATTTCTTTTAGAACAAGAGAAAGCAGTGTAATGGAAGTCAAAGAGAAAAGGAGATGGGATCAAGAAGGAAAATGGAAGCCAATGAGATTAGACGGAGCAGCCGCAGGAGGAACCGGCACGGGCAGGCTTAAGGGGCCATTGTTGATAAAGATGAAACACCTCTTCTCTGACATCATGACTCTGAGGAGTGGGGGCACAGCTCATGTGGGGGACAGTAGGGAGCTAAGATGTGGAAAAGTTAATCCAGAAACCAAAAAGAGAATTTTCTGGCTAGAAGTGTTTGACGGCGGACTTAAAGCAAGCCGGTCAGTACCGTCTCTGATGTTTTTGAAAACAGACTGCTGCCGAGGTGCAAGAGAACACTGAGGAAGAGGCATGGTGCTTCACCAGCTGGGGGTTTGCCAGGCACAATAAAAGGGAACCCTGCAGGAGAACTGAGATTGTTGGAGAGAGTGGTCATAGTGCTTGTGGGCGGAGAAGGGAGTAAGCCCAGCCATCGTCAATGTTGTTCATGTAGCCCCACTGTCTGCCAGGACGCATCAGTATGCGCATTTGTCTTTTCCCCATAAGGAAGCTCATTACTGACTTCCCCTGGACCCTGCCAGGTTCAGAATTCCCCATCAGGGTGGTGCTTTGCAGCAAGACCTCATGCGTCCCCTTCCTTAGACCTGGGAGGCAATGCGGCTGGCAGGAAAGGACCTCAGACTCGCTGGGAGAAGACCTGGGCTGGGGTCATTTTCTGTGGCATTTAGCAGATGGACCGGTTCTCTCCTTCCCTGGACCTGTTCCCTCTTGTGGTAACCACCCAGCTCAAACTGTAGTTTGGCACACAGATCTGATGAGATGGTAAATGTCAAACCATTAAGAGGAAGGAATTAGAAGACCCGGCAGAGTTACTAGATTCGCCCGACTCTGTAAGGAGGCACCGAGCGCAAATCCAAGGCTCTTGGTGGTGTGAGGTTTGGATTTCAAATGTCAGCGAATATAGGTCACCACGACACATAAGCAATCTGCCTTAAAAGTAGAACCTGATGAAACTATCACAAGGAAAGGCAGCGCGTTTCAACATCGGCCTTGGGAAGCAACAAACGCTTTGTGCAATGACCAATCAACCCACAGCTCGCACAGGATATTGCTGAGTGGCCATTCCTGACCTTACAAATAGTCAGAGACACCAATCACTCAGAGTGTGAGGGCTTCCCAAGGCCCAATCTCCATCTCTGCAAAGAGGGAAGAATCCTGTTACTTCCTCCTCAACTGCATCAGGGAGATGAGATTAGTTTTTTCCAAGAGACAAAAATAATAGCTGAAAATTACTTTTGATTGCTCTGAAAAAGTGGCTAGTCACAAAAGTGAAGTGTCACTATTATTAAGTGTGAGGCAATCCTTCCCTCCCCCACCTTGTCCCAGGGCTGCAGTGCAGAGCTGTGTGACAGGCTATTTTTAAATTCCCATCTCTGGAAACATATGGTCCTGCACCATGCCAAAGAAAGAAAAATGACCTGCTTAGGTCTGTTTGCTTGTTTGTTTTGATGGAACATTGTCTGTGTTCCGGAGAAAAATGATGTGTTCTGTTCTAAACGTTGAAGGTGAGTGTTAAATCTTTCCTACATTGTCTGGAACAGTCCACGACTACACGGCTTACACAGGCACCCGAGAGTTCTAACCTGCGCATTGATGTCTGTACACAAATTTCCTTTGGGGTGTCTCTGGATAGATTAAGATGTTTGTAAGTAGGTGGGA